ATATCAAGGTTATTTCATTCTTAACTACATATGCAAAAGTTTATATATATATATATATATATATAAGTATGACAATCGATATCAAAGGCTGGTTAAAAGTATAATTAAACATGCAAATAATATCATATTGTTATAATATCCAAACATTTATTAATTTCAATTTAATAATTTAGAACGTTCTGGAACTTGAAATTATCGTGCATAGAACTGGTGCTTCCTTGTTCAGAATCAGAATCCACAGAAGGTCTCGAAGACGTACGCTCAGAAATATTTTTCATATAGCTTGTAGAGAGTTCTTCCAATTCACTCTGAAACATTCGGATAAGCATCACTTCTATTGATGTTGTTTCTTCATGTAATAAGAAAGCTGTAAACTCCCTGCTAACAGAGTTCCGTTTTTTTCTAGTCTCTTCCCCATCTTCTTCTTCTTCTTCCTCAGGAAACGCCTGGTCCAACATTTCTCGAGTGAGCATAAAGCCAGACTCATTGTAGCCGATCAGTCCACGTAAGCTGAGTTGCTCATTGGCTTCGATATTCAACTCACGCAAGCGTTCTCGTATCTCTTCTTCAAACGAACTCTTTTGCGCTTCAAACTGGATGAGAAAAGCCTCAATTATAAATGCAAGCACAATATTTAAAACTAAGAGTACGCAAGAGATATGTATAATCAGGAAAAAAAGGCGAGTCCAACGATTTGTTACTGCTTCATGTCCTGCAGTGAAGATGTGCCAATTATTACCCACTGTTAGTACGAGCATGATTACAAAGGCCTCTGTGAGGCTGTTAAAGTTAAAGATACAATAATGCCATGAAACATATTCACTATCAGCAAGCCGACTATTATTACAGTTAACGGTCTCGTTAGACAAGTTGGTATAGCTTAGATTAGTAGGAGGCGTAAATAGGCCTGCAAAATATGTCATGCCAATAGTGGCAAAAAAGTAGAAAAGTATGAATAACATGCAGGCATAGGCTAGGAGAGATGGAAGTATTGTAAGAATGCAATTCACAACCACTAAAAAGGGCTTGATACGGATAAATATCTTTAGCAATCGGCAACTTCGCATCAGCAGAAAAAGTTGAAGCAGAAAACTCATTAACTCATTATTTTGTCCTTTCAATGCCTCCTGTAATATCATGCTGATGAGTCCTCCTAATACGACGATTATATCAAAGATATTCCATTTATCTCGAAAAAAGTTCACACCGGCAGAAAATATGAATTTTAGTAAGAGCTCAAAAATAAAAAATACAGTGAAAAACCATTCAGTGATTAGTTCGTACTCTGGATAATTATGGGCAGCCACTAGTGAAATGCCATTAAGAAATATCATGATGTTGAAAAAATAAGCTAAGGGTGTACTATATACGATGCGCCGAATCATTTGGAATGGTGGAGACATGACGATTTTATAACATGCA